ACTGTGTGTGATTGGAGGGCATCACTGTGCGCGAGTGGCGGGCATCACTGTTAGACTGTGTGTGAGTGGTGGGCGTCACTGTGTGTGATTGGTGGGCATCACTGTGCGTGAGTGGTGGGCATCACTTAGACTGTGTGTGAGGTCACTGTGTGTGAGTGGCGGGCATCACTGTTAGACTGTGTGTGAGGTCAGTGTGTGTGAGTGGCGGGCGTCACTGTTAGACTGTGTGTGAGGTCACTGTGTGTGAGTGGCGGGCGTCATTGGGTGTGAGAAGCAGGTGTCACTGGGAGTAAGTGGCAGGCGTCACTGCCTCTCGAGACAGTCGCCAACATGCAGCTGTAGACTGTCCTGGTCGGGGAAGACGGCGTTGCAGGCCGGGCAGTCGTAGCGACGCAGGCTCTGTGGCTCCTCCTCCTCGCCTTGAGGGGGGGCCGGGTTGGGTGGGGGTGTGTTCATGCGACCCATCTGTGGACAAGGGCGTAAAAATAATAAGAATAATAATAATAGATAGCATTTGTATAGCGCAAATCCCCGCTCAACAGCAGGCTCTATGCGCTTCACAATCTGTACTATTACCCCAGCAGACCTGAGAGTACTCTGAAACAACCTCAACTTCCTGGGAAGCATACAGTGCAAGTAGTCATTGTAGACGCTAAAACACTAACAAACTGACAAGATCTTTCGCTGTCTATGGCCGGGTACCCATTCCCACCTGGATGAAGTGAGGAAAATTCGTGTAAAGTGCCTTTCCCAAGGACACAACGTCGGGGCCGTGGCTCGAACTCTCGACCCCGCAACCTCACGATTACGAGTCTGGTAGCCTAACCACTAGGTCACCGACGTCAACAGGAGGTCCCGTGTGCAAGTTGCGCTCGTTAAAGATCTCTTGGTGGTCAAAAATTCTGTCCCCGTCGTTTTATACAAGAAAAATTCTGAAATTATGCAAACTGAGCCCAAAAATGTGAAATTATGCTATTCTGTTAATTCTAACAAAGAATGATAAAGGAAAAATAATTAGGAATTATGCAAAAAATGATCAAATTATGCTAAATTATGCAGGGTGCATAACACCATGGGGACAGAAAATAGATAAGAGTAGGCATCCTCCGCCACCCGGACAAAATTCAAAATATCCTACCAGCTGAAAAAAAAAAACCGAAACAAAAAAGAAAAGTTGAGAAGACAAAAGACTTACCCCCGTGTAGAACCCCCCGCCAGCGCCGGCTTGTCGGAAGTCTTGAGCTAAGGGGGGCGTGGTCCGCAGTCTGCCCGGGTAGTCGGGGTGGGGGACGGTGGGGGGCGTGGCCATCCGTGCCTGTGGAGACACAATTTTTTAGTTTTTAGTTTTAGTAGAGTTTTTACGGCGCTGGCAACTGCATAAGTTCATACCAGCGTCAAGGGGTGGATGTCAACAGAAAAGACCTAACGAGGAATCAGGCTTACTCTGCTCACCTCTCTAGCCTCAACAGCACAAAGTCTGCTTCGACTATCAAGGCACCCCGCAAATAGCGGGTCACAAAAGAGTGACAAACATACAACAGAAGTGGAGGAAAAATGATGATAGTAAGGATGAGGAAAGGAAAAGCAGCAGTTCCCCCTATGTTGTTCCGGCACAGTATGAGCATGACGTTGATAAATCAGCCCATTTACAATTCTACTGTGCATAAGAACATGTTAATATCCCCCCTTTGGGAATACCCTGAAGACACTTCAGTCAGTAGCACCACCCTGGGGGGTTTTAGTAAAAGTTTTACGACACTTGCAACACAATAAGGTCATATAAGTGCCGAAGATTAGAGGTGTTACAAGAGAGTAACGAACACAAAAAAGGAGGAGAGATCAGGACGATAGATGTTTGATAGGAAAGAAGGAGTAAACCACACCTTAGCAGAGCACCCGTCAACCACCCACTAAACCACACAATAACACCCAAGACTTGTGTGAAGAAATAAGAGAATGCTTCTTTATACAAAATTTAATGTTCAACGTTCAGCACTGTCTTCCAGTTGAAAACCTGTCCAACCCCAGGAGGAAAAACTTTCTCAGCTGTCATCAACATCATCATCATCCAGTGCCAGATCTGCGACAGACATCAGCGATCATGGTTCTTCATTCACTTCTTGACTCGAATGCTCTTTAAAAAGCTACGTTTCCCTGATCTTTCCTTGTTACCCATTTGTTTAGGTTCCCCGAGTACATTGTTCTGGGCCTACCCCTGCCTCACTTGCCTTCAATTTTGCCAGTGAGAGCTAGATGTTCAAGTCTCTTATGTCTATTCAGGTGTCCCAAAAACTGCATTTGTCGTTTCCTGATTGTTTATAACAGATATAGTGCTACATATAAATGCAATGTGTTATTACATCAATGGCCACTTTTAAGGACAAGCGGGCTAACCCAGATATCTGGGGTTTCCAGAAATCTTGACCTACACCAAAAGTGGACATGGCCCTACCTGTAGGATAAGTTTGGTTTCATTGGCGAGTATATTTGATTGGTTATAGAAAGAGAAAACTCTCCTTGCCTTTTAAAGAAACTGAACAAGGGTCCAAAAACTTTGCCTTCGATTTTCTCAAAACAGCATTTTTCGGGATAGCCCTCTTGTGTTTTTTAGAAAGCGACCAATCACTAGCATGATTACCTGTCCCCCGGCCCAGACGCGGCGCTGGATGTCGCTGATCTGTCGTTGGTCCATCTCCAGCTCCAGTTGTCGGTGCCTCTCATGCAACGCCTTCATCTCCTCTGCCAGTTTGTCTCTCTCCTCCGCCAGCCGTGTGCGCGACTCTCGCTCCGCGTCAAAATCGTTCTTGTAAAGTTCAGCCTGAAGATATGTGCAGTAAACGAGGGAAGATAAGATAATATGATAGATGAGATAATACGACAGATGAGATAAAACAATAGATGAGATAATACGATAGATGAGATAGTGTGATAGATGAGATAATGTGATAGATGAGATGAGATGAGAATTTGAGTTAGGCTAGAGAAGGGGCCACCTCTTAATAATGAAACAAATTGTGTCTATGGGGGTCGAAAAACAGCTGCATTAAAATATACCCTCCCCCCCAAAACTCAAACTGACCTGCATTTTGAGCAGTTGTATTTCCTCCTCGTGGTTGGTGGTGGTGTTGTGTGCCCGCTTGAGCCGCGTGATCTGTTCGTCTCGGAGCGCGATGGCCTCATCAGCCGCCATCACCTGGGCGGTCAGTCGGTTCAGCTCCTCCATCAGCTCCTTGGAGTTGTGCGGCGACTGCCCATGCTGCTCACACACACCACAAATACAAGAAACAGTTCATCAAGAATTGTGAAGCATCGTGGTGAAATCAGGTGCTCGTCAAAATAGCTGTCCCTGTGGTTTTATGCATCCCGCATAATTTAGCAAAATTTGATCATTTTTTGCATAATTTCTGATGACTTTCCTTTATCATTCTTTGCTAAAATTAACAGAATCGCAAAATTTCACATTTTTGGTTTCAGAATTTTTCTTGCATAAAACGACGGGGACAGAAACAGTGAAATCAATGAAATAGGCATTTTTCTGGCGGTTTGGCAATTTTTTTCTTCTAATATGAACTGGCCTTGTATCTTCTCTCCTTCCTTGTCCGACTGGCCTGCATGATTTGAAATGCTGGCAGTAGAAGGAAAACCACTCACCTGCTGTCAATTGATCAAAATACAGGTAGGAAATAATTCAATGAAAAATACTATTCGATATAACTTCCCCTTTGTTAGGCCAGATCCAGTGCTTTCTTGTCCAATCTCCATTTCTCTTAACATTGAAAATGTGACTTCTTCTTAAGCTCAGAATTTGTTATGGACTGTTTTCACTGTAAAAAAAAAAAAATGGAGATACGACAAGACAGCACTGAGGTCACTCTTTGTTATAAACTGTTTTCCCTCTTAACGTGAAAATGTGACTTCTTCTTAACCCTTAAGATTCTGGTCCCTGATAAATGTTTGCCCGATAAGCGCAATCCCGCGCGGCGCTCCACAGCTGGTCCCTGATCAGTCGTCGTCCCGCGCGGGCAACGCATTTCGTTTACGGCGGGGTCTGCATCTGTGTGCTAAAATGTGTGTGCGTCAATCTGCTTGTGCCTGTGTGTCCATCTGGAACTTACTGCATTGTTTTGCAACGCGAGGCGTTGGTAGAGATAACAGAGCATCGGTTGAGACGTTCATCCAATGAAATATGAGCATTTTGACCCAGTTAGACATTTGAGGGACTCGAAAGGATATTAAGGAAATAGCACTTTCATCTTTCAATACAAACACCTTTCCTCACTTTTCAAACGATCTAATTCTTACACCAAACGTTGTTTCCTGATGTAAATAATCATATTTGGTGGTTTTTGAACCATTGTCCTACCAGAGGGAGACATTTGAGAGCAACTGAATTTAAAAAATATTCGGAAATTATCCCATTTTTTTCCTCTTTCGAACGATAGCTGATAAGCAGCTGTTCGCAAGTTCATTCATAATAGGTGTGAAATCTGGAAAACTCTGGAAAAGTTATTCGATTTGGTGTAACTTCCAATCTCAGCGTCTCTGATCAACCAACGAGGAGATAATGGGATTATTCGTGTGATCGTAACACTTATTCATTGATCGTATCAGTTTGCTATAAAAGATGAGGTGTTTCCCTGACCTGCCGCGGCACGTTCGCGTGACCAGTGTCTGACCCCGGCACCCCGTGGCACAAGCCCGCAGGCGACGTAAGTGGGTCATCGATCGATAAGAGCCCTCTTCCGGTTAACCCCGCAAGACTAGAGTTAAGCTCACTCTTTGTTATGAACTACTTTCACTGTAAAAAAAAAAATATGGAGATACGACAAGAAAACACTGAGGTCGCGAACTGTCATTCGTGCAGTAGAAAAAGAAGTGAAGAAAGCGAGTTGAGAGCGAAAGCGTACCGCCAACTGTCGTTCGTGCAGTAGAAGAAAAAGCAAAGAGAGCGAGTTGAGAGTGAAAGCGTACCATGTCTGCCTTGTTGGCCTCCACCATGTCCACGAGCTCTCGGTACTCGGACACTATCTCGTTGAAGGACATCTGGAGCTGGTGATGCTGTCGCCTGGGCAGTCAGAACAACAGTCATGATGGTACCGTAGTAATAATGGTCATGATGGTAATGATGGTAATGCTGGTAATGATGATAATGATGGTAGTAATGATGGTCATGATGGTAATGATGGTAATGCTGGTTATGATGATAATGATGGTACTAATGATGGTCATGATGGTAATGATGGTCATAATGATGATAATAATGGTAATGATGATAATAATAATGGTAATGATGATAATGATGATAAGAATAATGATAACAATGGTAATGATGGTAATAATAATGAAAATAATAGTAATGGTGGTAATAATAATGGATATGATGGTAATAATAATGATAATAATGGTAGAACCTAATGATGATAGCAATAATGATGATAATGATAATGCTGATGATGATAACACAAATAATAGATTTTAAAAAAGCTATAACAAGCAACCACCAACCACCCACTTGATCAAGCTGTTCTCTTGCTGTGCCCGATGCTGTTCCCTCACCCACCCACCACACATCAAACACCCACCCACCACCCACCAACCACCCACTTGATCAAGCTGTTCTCTTGCTGAGCCCGATGCTGTTCCCTCACCCACCCACCACCCACCATCCACCAACCACACATCAACCACCCACCCACCACCCATCAACCACCAACCACACATCAACAACCCACCCACCACCCATCAACCACCCACCCACCACCCACCATCCACCCACCAACCACACATCAACCATCCACCAACCACCCACTTGATCAAGCTGTTCTCTTGCTGCGCCCGATGCTGTTCCCTCACCCACCCACCATCCACCAACCACCCACCCACCACCCACCAACCACCCACTTGATCAAGCTGTTCTCTTGCTGAGCCCGATGCTGTTCCCTCACCCACCCACCACCCACCATCCACCAACCACACATCAACCACCCACCCACCACCCATCAACCACCAACCACACATCAACAACCCACCCACCACCCATCAACCACCCACCCACCACCCACCATCCACCCACCAACCACACATCAACCATCCACCAACCACCCACTTGATCAAGCTGTTCTCTTGCTGCGCCCGATGCTGTTCCCTCACCCACCCACCATCCACCAACCACCCACCCACCACCCACCAACCACCCACTTGATCAAGCTGTTCTCTTGCTGAGCCCGATGCTGTTCCCTCACCCACCCACCACCCACCATCCACCAACCACACATCAACCACCCACCCACCACCCA